TTAGCATAAATATAATGTCAAGTTTATTTATTTTGGAATGATATTGTATCCTGTCTGTTTCGATTCATATTTATTTATGACTAAAACGTTTAGTTTTAGTCTGTTCAGTAAATGTTTATCCAGTTCGGCCCGCTACCTAAAGTGTGCTTTGAGTTTTGGCCCTCTGTGCAATTGAGTTTGACACCCCTGCCCTAGACCGATCGGCCAGTGGCCAAGCTTCTGGAGGTTCTTATTTCCACTGAAAGAATCATTGTATTCTGACAGCGAAACAAGCCAAAACAAACCATTTATAAAGAACACAGGATATACCTACAGTACAGCAAAAAGACACAACAAACAACAGCAAACAAACACTGGGCAGGTTGATGAGGCCGGTGACTGCTCATCAGAGACGTGGAGCTCCAGAACCAGGGCTACCTGCAGAAAGGTACAGGGAGAGAGAGAGAGAGAGAGACTACAGGAGAGAGGAGACACGCAGTTAGTGACACATAGTGGTGGCATATAGAAGCATGGAGAGAAAGGACACAAAATCAATCAGTGGGTAGACAACTAGGAATTGTAAAATGCCTGATGACTTTATGTAATGTCTTTTTCACGCTCCTACACCTGCTATGGCTATTTCACACAGGACATATCAACTTCCAAATGTACAATTAAATATAATACAAATTAATGTAAAACAATCACATGTTAAAAATGGGTACAGTTGCTCTGAAACTATTTACACCAGACCAACACAGTTTTAATACATTAAACTCATGTTTGACTGCTAACCACCCACACCATTAAAACATGTCTACATTTGATAATGAATTCAAATTTTGGAGTCAGGTGAACCCATGCGTGCACACAGCAAATTCACTGGAGTTAAAATTCTAGTGTTGGGTACTTTTAGAGTGAAGTGTTGAGGTTCTGGTGTTGTTTTTGCTAGAGGGAACTCTGTGCTAGTGACAAAACATAATGTTGATGGTGTAACATTACAGTGTTAATGGTACTCAACACTGAAGAGTGTTACTTTAAACATCCGGGCATTTGGGCAGGTATGCTTGTGGAGATTTGTGACAACCGCCATTTTCTTGGTTTCACTTCGAGCATGAAAAGGCCACACTGGTAAGTTTAATATAAGTAATTCTAATTGTATTCCAGCTATTTTCTCATTACAATGCACGTATGTTGGCTTGTTTAAAATATTGGCATTTACAATACAATGTAGCGTTATTAGCATGTTTCCACTGCTGTTTGCTTGCTGGTAAGTGATAACGTTAGCTAGCTAACTTCAACGTAACTTTAGTTAAGTTGAATTTTGGGACACGTGTGGGCTAACATGTAGGTGAACTCTTTTTAAAAATCATTTTTAAGCTGTTTTGGCCGAGGAGAACGTCATATTAACTATTTCATACAAACAGTGTTTCA